AGGTTTCTTCCATCACATTCTATGGAAATGATATATGTTCAATTCTAATACAATGTCAATTCTCCTTTGATTGACAAAATCAGTTTATTTTGTAACCTTGCATAATATTGTGTTTTTTCAATGCTAGATGGCAGCTAGAACATCTGCTGGACTTGGTCTTTTTACCGAGAAACAAACTATAACATTAGGAGGTGGGTATTTATGTTGGAGTCATGTGGTGAGATGCATCCAGTCTGTCTGATTTGTGGAATGTATTTCTGCCTGACATTGCACATTTGACAGAGAATGAGTAATTGAACAGAAAGTGAAGCAGTTTGCAGAGGTAGAAAACTGAATATTGCAAACTACTTGATCACATTTTGAATTCTGATTTATAACTCTTTATCACTCGGACAATCAAAACTGTACTTAACCATTTCAACACCATTTCCTTCTTTTCATCACAAATTCACAAAATAGTCCCCTCTTTTCATCACAAATTCACAAAATAGTCCCCTCTTTTCATCACAAATTTACAAAATAGTCCCCTCTTTTCATCACAAATTTACAAAATAGTCCCCTCTTTTCATCACAAATTCACAAAATAGTCCCCTCTTTTTATCACAAATTCACAAAATAGTCCCCTTTTTCATCACAAATTCACAAAATAGTCCCGTTTATAGTCTGCACTTTCCTTCCTAGGAAAAAAATAGCCACATTTTTGAGTAAAAATTGGTTTGTCTGTTGGCTCCAAAATTGAGGTATGTACGGTACCCTCTAGAAGGCATTTGAGACCAGTTTTGAGACTCTCCCACAGAGGAACATGCCATTTGAGACCGTGTTTGAGACCGATTTAGAGACTCTCGGATGCCACATAGACCGGGAATGAGACCGTGTCTGAGACCAGCTTTAGAGACCGTCAATTCGCGCAGTCTGATTGGACAACCATCTGACATCAGAAATTGTATTCTACTCTTTTCACCATAGATTTAGGAACGGAAAAATTGTTGTTGATAGATTTGTTAGCGTACGAGAAAATTAAAACGCTAAAAAAAGAGAAAAGAAAACGTGACAACAACATGAATATCTCATCTGGAGAATAGTTTGACGACATACAAGACTGTATTATGATTTAGTGTATTCTGAAATATGAAGCTGGGAATATTTAGTAACTGTGTTAATTGTTTGTAGCAGTTGACGTATTCGTTAACAAACCCGACATCATCCAGAAAAACAGGCGCAAAATTCACCCAGTTAGCCAGTTAACGGGTAGTAACAATGATCTGTGGCCATCGTTAACGATTGTATTTGAGTTGCAAGTGTTTCTTTATTTGTCAATGCTAGGTTGGGACGAAAAAAAAGATTTTTAACTCCATGGGTGAGTGGGAGTACGTCATAATTTAGAGAAAAGTTCCGCGATTTGCGTGAGTACTAAGTATCAACAAAGGTGCGTAAAACCGCAGCTACCATTGGCTGGCGGTGCCCAAAAAAGGCGGCGTCCTGCCACTCAGGGAGACGGCTGTTCATTTCCTTTTAGCTGCAGGCCTGCTTTAGCTGTATTAGT